TTCGCTTAGTGATTCTTAATGTAATTGGTTCCTATACTTACAATATCCAACAAAGAATTAAAGGTAAGAATCATATTACAGAATCACTAAGCGCTAATTGATTAGTTTTCTGTGCTGAATGCAGTCAATTGCCGATCCGGAGCGTTTATGTCTGGAAATCAACGCATACTCTCGCACTACTTCTGAAGTATTATCGCTGAAGTAGTACAGTCACAGAAAGAGAGAAAGGCTGCAACACTTTTTCTTTATAAGTTTCGGAATGCAGCTTGCTTCACCGAGCAATTGGTTCTTATTCATGGATTCATAAATAAGAATGGGCTGGTAAGTACATTCTAAAACCCATTAAAAAAAAAAATGTTACAACTTTTCTATGACTGGCTGTACACAAAAACAATAATACTCTGTATTAATATAATAATATTCCGCTTTAAAAATAATAATATTCCGAACATTATGTTTTGCGATTTTCTAAAAAACGAGCATATCTCAATAACTAGCAAAAATGAGCATATCTCTAAAGAACTTTTTTTCTTAATTTATCTATTCCCTATAAGCTCCTGAAATTTGGCAATTTAAATTCGGGACATCCTGTATAATGTACTTACTGAATGATGTATTTCCAGTTTGTCCAAACATATTTAATGTTAAGTAAATTACAGAATCTTGTTACAGATTCCACCTGAAATAAAAATAAATCATCTCTATATAAAACAACTTTTTTATATTAACGTATAATTTATTTATATAATTGTTATATTAACACATATTATTAGCATATATTATTCCAGAAAAAATGAAAATTGTTACATTAATCAAGAATTCTACTATCATTATCACACTGATTAATGTTATCAATTCAAGAATTATTACTTTACAATATGTTCAATGATCAATGTTTTTACACAAACAATATAATCAAACTGTTAATAACATTCTGTAATATATACATCTTTAAAAATAAAAAACAATTGGAATATTGTAAATATATTTTCGTTTTAGTAAATATAAAACAATTTTTTCTATTTATTCTTTTCCATCTATTTTTTCACCTGAAAGTACATTTAATGTACTACATTTAAAGTATCTTAAATGTACTTTCAGATGAAAGAATATATTTATTAAAAGGTTTTGTAGTCTTTTTATTTTTCATACATGTAATTTTATACGCACGCGCGCACATATAGAGGAAAGCCCCCTAATATGAGATAGCGGCATTTCTGCTAAACTAATAAACGCTATTTACTGCTTTCATCATGAATTTATTGTTCTTGGATTGAAAACTATTTAGTGAAAAATTCATTATTAGGTCGTGCCTGTAGTTGTCGCAAAAAAAGATTTTAGATTTTGAATGTCTTCAAGTTTCGTTGAAATGAGCTTTTAAACCATGTTTATTATTTAATAAGTAAATATTTAGCAATAAATTTTTCATATGGTGATAGAGTAAGATTGTACTAATAGAAAAATACATATGTTGAATTGCTTAATTACAGTTAGATTTGATGATCGTAAAACCGTAAGGTGTGGAAATCCGTAATATGAGATACCTAGGATATTTCTAATATGAAATAACCTATGCTCCTATGTCATAATAAAAATTGTTGCTGTATAAATGTTATTGTATAATAATAAAAAGGATTGGAATAAACATCGAATGCCTGTTTCTGCGATACTTGTTTCCAACTACCTGAAGATGAGTCAACTAAGTACAATGCATCGCATACTCATTTTGCATGCGCACTGACAGTTTTTATTTGTATTTTAGAAATATTAAATAAAGTTTTTTAATTGTAATACTGATGTACTTTGCGTTTTATTATCAATTTTTCGAGACATCTCATATTAAGAGCACAATTTTTTGACTTTGCGATTTGCTCACTTTTTACATTTCTTTAATTTATAAAAAAAATTAAATTTGAATTAAATTTTACATAACATTATCTTAAAGATTACTAAACTCCCTTCAAAATGACCTATTATTGTTTAAAATTCTGCCCATAGATTTCTAGCAATTACCCAAAATAAATTCGGTATCTCATAATAGAGCCCCCCCCACTCCCCCCACCCATCTCTCAATATGCACGCATGCACAGAGCATAAACTCGAAAAAATCCATATACAGAAAAATGCTCATAATATTTTTTCAAATGTACATAGAATATTTATATTTGGCATAAAGTTAGCTAACAGGTATACATGAAAGATACGTAGCATGGTCAAATAGACCGCACATAACTTAATTGGAAAAATGACGCAAAGTGAAGAAGATATTCATAAATCGTTTGCGCACACACGAATGAAGTATCCAGGTATGTCTATAAGAAAGATTGCCATAAAGCTACAATTGGTAACTGTTTCAGATATCTTGAAACAATTTTCAGAACATCAAACCATTGATCACAGATCTCGATCTGGAAGAAAAAGCCGTTCTGCATATCTAAGACAGAGAAACGGTTGTTCAGCTATTCAGAGAAAATCCCAATTATCGTCGTGTGATGTGGCAAAAATAACAAGTGTATCACATCTTATACATTTAAACTAATAGACAAATTAAATGGATTTTCCTTAGACAATAATTTTTCTCTAATATCATTGGATGTGGTTTCTTTATATACCAACATAGATTTGGTTATTAAAAGTGTCTCAAACAAATGGAATTTTACATCGCGTTCTTGCAGTATACTTAAAGATGAATTTTTAAAAGCCTTACAATTAATTCTCGAATCAACTTATTTCACTTTTGACAACAATATTTACAGACAAAAATTTGGCACGCCCATGGGCTCCGCGGTCTCCCATCATTGCAGATCTAGTTATGCAGGATCTTGAGATTATGGCTCTGAAGAGGTTCGGAGTTAAGGTACCTTTTTATTTCAGATCATAACGGCTGTCCCCAATCACTTAATTCACAAATTTTTAGACGTGTTTAATTCACTACATCCGAGGTACAATTCACGTTAGAGGTTGGAGGAGATAAATTAAACTTCCCCGATGTCATCATTATAAATTACAATGGTATATAAATTATAATTCAATGTATTTCACAAACCAACGTTTTCGTAGATACCTCAACTTCATATCTTTCTACCCTCTCTCACAGAAAAGGGATGTTTTGATGGATATAGACAGAGTTTTTCTACTATCACATCCTAAATATCACCAAGAAAAATTTAAATTCATTATTACAACTTTTTTAAATAATAACTATCTAATTAAATTTATTTTGATACCATAAATTCACGGCTAAGGTCTCTATGTAAACGGAAGACTCTTAAACAAACCAAAGAAAAATCAAAAGAAATAACAGAGAAAGAAATAACAGAAAAAGAAAAAAATCTCCTGGTTTACAATTTCTTTTTTGCCCGACATATATAATAAATTTAAGAACATCACTAGAGACCTTAAAGTTCAATTATCATTCTTTAACTTAAATAAATTCAATTAATTTATAATATTATAATTTATAATTTAATAATAAAAGTACAAAATATGTTCTTTCGCAACAATTTAAGAAAAACGTCGTTTATAAAATTTTCTGCAAAGATTGCAATGCATCCTACATAAGGTAGACCGAGAAGAAATTAAAAACTAGAATTATTAGTACCGTAATGACATTAATAAAAAATCAGGCAATTTATCTGTTTAATCTAAATATAGAATCCATTTAGACCATGAATTTGATTGGGATAATGTCTTGGATAATAAAAGATATTTGGGAAGAGAACTGATATCAGAAATGCTCAATATTCAAATATAAGAGAATGGGTTAAAGTCAGACACTGAATTCCTGTACCATGCATACCTTAACATTCTAAATAATTTTCAATAATTCATGACAATATAAATATGAGTTTGATTACTTATCTATTTTATTTTTATTTTTATGACTCTTTTGTAACCACATGTTTTCTTCTTGTTTATTGATATATCTTTACACATATTTTTCATACTTTAACTGTCATTCTCTTAAAAGACATTGTCACAAATAGTTGTGTTACGATTTAATTACGCTTATCAACAATTTTAAAATTATTTCTCAATAATATGTACAAGATCTCAGTGTTTGTAATAGGTAGGTCAATTTTCAATTAAATCACTTGTAATAAATAAAATATAGCAATTACATTCATTGTAGCACTTGGCTCGATGACAGATGCTCTTCAAATTTGAAAATACTTTTCTCGCTGCACCCTTTGACTTTTCATGCTGATTAAAGTTCCGAAATTAATTATTCTGCATCGCTGAAGATGGCTGGAACGGAGTCGAAACGTCCGATCAACTAATGTACAATATTTGTAAGATCTCAGAATACAAAATTTTATCATCACGCACGAAGTATCGCGTTAATGATCTCAATCGACATTCCACTCTCCTTATTTGTACATTTATTTTTTTGTATACTTACTTTACACCTACTTCTTTTTGCCACATCCATACATGCAAAGCTAAATTAGAATTTCTTCTAAACAATCCGTTTCTCTGTCTTAGAACATGAGCTTTTTCTTTCAGATCGCAGAGGCCTGCGATCAATACTTTAATGTTCTGGAAATCATTTCAAAACATCTTTTCAAACATTCTTGAAACAGTGGACGTGACCAATTGTAGCTTTCTTGCAATCTTTCTTACAGCATATCTACCATAGATTCTCCATTCCTAAATCGTACGTGCGCAAACGATTTACGAACATCTTCACTTTGCGTCATTTTTCCAATTAAATTATGTGAGGTCTATTTGACAACATCATCTTTTATTGCCTATTAGCTAACTTCATGCCAAATATAAAATATTCTATGTACATTTGAAAAAATGTTATCAGCATATCTCTGTGTACGAATTCGTTATTTATGTATATGTATATATATATATATATATATATATATATAAATATATATACAGGGTGTTTGGAAATTAGTGATAAGTCTTTCGCACAGGGGCAGAATGG